TTTTCGGTGTAAAAGCACTTTCTGCACATGAAAAGGAAAACTCAAACCAATCAATTGGTCCAGTTCCTTGTGCAACATTAATTTATCATCACCAAAATCTCTGAAATCCAAGTGTACCAGTGAAACAACACCTTTTTTTTTCCCTTTTTTTTTCTTCGCAGTATGAATGCTCTAACAAGTTCAACGATCTACCTTTCAACTGCCACGAGAAGAAGCTTTCATGAAACATTTCTCGTGCACGGTGGCAACCAGGTCAGATCAGCTTGTTACGCGCTTACAAAATCAGTGTGTTTGGATGAAGAAATTTAAACGTACAAAAGATTTCATAAATGACGGAAATTAATGTTCTAGAATTTGTAATGTTTCTTATTTGGGTGATGGATTTAAAATACGGAATTTAACATTTATTTGTAAAGTTATCTTTTTTTTTAAACTCAATCTTTCTTGGGACTTTATAAATGACGACTTTTAAATAGAATTTAAAGTTGGGATTTATGATCTCCAAATTCCATGTTTTTTCCACGCGTAATTTCTAAATTTCTATGTTTTTTTATCTAAACACAGGAATTGGTTCGTGTCAATTTAAAAATTCTGATTTTTATCAAAATCCCAAATTTATTTCCCTCATCCAAATGCACCGAGTGCAGGGAGAGATGGAGCAGCCCACACTTTCACCTTTTTATCGATACTTGATGTGGCCAAAACCAATACTTTCTCACACCTATAGAGAGGACAACACAATGTTATTATCTTCGAAGCAACAATGAAAATAAATCACTCCAGCCGGATTGTATTTAATTGGATAGTCTTGATTATTTAATCTCTCCAAGTTCCAACGAATCAACAATCTTATCCTCGATGTCACACTATTAATTAATCCGACTGTCCAAGTTTTTGGTCAAAAATTTACGCATATATTTACGCATTTAACAAAATAAGTTCCCTTCGCAAAATTTTCTTTCATTGTGCCAAACTCGTCAACTTGTCTTTCATTAGAAGACAACTTAAAACATTTAAGAGAAGTGTTTTACCCATTGGAATCGTCTTGGGTGCAGTCTTGTGACAAGAACATCCCTTGGAGAAGGGGATGTGGAGTGTTCCCTGTCGTGGAGGCATGGTCGACCTGCAATTGAAGTAAAAATCGTACCAAACTATGCCTAACTTAACACCAACTTTTAAAGCTTGAACAAGCCACACTAATCTTTTCATTAAATATAAAAGTGTCACTAACATACCACCACAAGAACTTCTACATGAGTTTGATGGTGGTGGGTAGGCCTGGGCACGGATCGATCCGGAACGATAGAAGGCTCTTCCGTCAACCAAACCAAAGATTTCGGTAGACTTCGGATCGGTTAACCTAATATTCGGTTCGGATTGACCGGTACACTGGTGGTGGTACCATAATAAAAATATACTAATAAAAATACAATTTATAATATTTTCACATAACATAAGTTCTTGAACAAATACACCAAATTATCCTTGTAAAATATAAAAATCCAATAGTCTAATTCATCCAAGTATAAAATCAAATAACTTAGTCACTATATCATTCAATATATACTCAAGATATACTAGGAGCCACTCGTGTTTGTTGTTTGAACCTTTGAGTGTATTTTTTATTGAATTCTCTACATTTATGTAAATGATTTTGACATTTGTTCCTCGTAGGGTTCTTTAGTTTTTCATGCTAAACCCAACCATATAAAGAACATAAAATTTGGATCAACTGTTAGAAAGTTATAGGTAAAAAACGGGGCAAAGGTCGAAACTGGAAAACATAGGAAGTTCATAAATTCCTTTTTGACCAAAAAGTGCTACAGTACCCTGATAAGTGATACAATTGTAATAAAGAAGTGATACAGTGGTGATAAAGCAGTGATAAAATGGTGATAAAGCAGTGATACAATGGTGAGAAAGAAATGATGCAATAGTGATAAATGAGTGATACAAAATGATGATTGTATTTACCTTTGGTTTCTTGTTTTGTATTTAAATAATAAAATAAGTATAAATATCAGATCGGTACGAGTTTCCGTCGGCTTAGGAATTTTGTTTCCATTAATCAAACTAAACATTTCGCTACAGATCGAACATGAATAATTAAAATTAAAAAATAATTATTTAACCAAACCAAACCAAACCAAACCATCGATACACAGATAATTCGGATGAGATGCCCACCCCTAGTGGTGGGCTGCAAAAGTTACACATACGGTTGATTTTGTTTTGTTCGGGTTTCTAAATTGAGGGGTATATGCTAGCAGCCTCATTTTCTTCACCTTCTTCTCCTCATCCATAACGTGGTTTGGAAATTGAAATAACTCATTTTCAGATTATTATGCAAAAATCATTCTTATAAACTAAACAAATTTTCATTTGATTAACATTGTCATAATTTTAGTATTTAATCGAAATATTGCATTCATCTATCTATTTTATAACAATTAGATGACTAAATCATTTCCAATTTTTTAAAATTTTTTTACACCTATAACCTTTAGAGCGTGACCTAGAAAATGAATGGTTCATAAACCACATTGTACAAGAGAAGGTGAAAGAGGAAGGTACAGTTAGCATTCATCTTGAGTATATTTTAATTGTGTGTGGTGCAAGAGTATTAATAGATTTTGATTTAGCCATAACATCTTCTATTTTGAGTTGAAGTTTAGGAGATACTTGTGCCACTAGAACAAAACACGAATTAAAAAATAGATGAAATGTTAAGTATTGAGTTATACACCGATTAAATTAGGGTTAACTAGTAAACACGATACTAATACAAAACAATATTACCCAAACACGACAATATGGAACTGCCACTATCGATTATTTGTATCATCTCAATGCATCTTATATATCACCTCTCTATTATAAGTAGACCCCGTAGATATGAGATATAGATGTCACCTTGATTAGCTACACAATAAATAGAAATAAAAGCACTTCTACTTCTGCCCGAATTTGGCATTGTTCGCATTCAATGCCTAATTATTTTTGGTCAAATA